GGTGGGATCAGCTAGGTGTAGTTTATTATGAGCTGCTCAAACCGAACGAAACCATTACGGGAGCTCGCTATCGACTACAATTGATTCATTTGAGCCGAGCATTAATGGAAAAACGGCCGCTATGATAACGAGCAGAGACACGACAAAGTGATTTTGCAACATGACAATGCACGGCCACATGTTGCACAACTGGTGAAAACCTACTTGGAAACGCTTAAATAGGAAGTCCTATCCGCCGTATCCCCATCCGCCGTATTCACCAGACATTGCCCCTTCCGATTATCACCTGTTCCAATCGATGGCACATGGGCTGGCTGAGCAGCACTTTCATTCTTATGATGATGCCAAAAAATGGATCGACTCTTGGATAGCCTCAAAAGACATGTTGTTTTTCCAACGTGGAATTCAAATGCTGCCAGAAAGATGGGAAAAAGTAGTGGCTAGCGATGGACAATACTTTCAGTGACATATTTTTTACGACTTTTTAAAAATAAAGTATTACTTTTCACAAAAAATCAGTGAGAACTTATTCAAGGTCCCAATATACATTTCCTAAATCTCATCAAGATATCTTAACAAGACTTAAAAAATATATAAAAAGTATATCTAACTTTCTTATTAAAATTTACAAACATATGGAGTAATATATATTATATATGGAAATATATGGTAACTTTATGTCCTACATGATATTATAGGCTGAAGAAGTTCTTTTGTTTATTTTTTCCTTTTATTTATGTTTTTCTGTATCTTGACAAATAAAATAATAAAAGTGAGTAAATTCACTAGAATACTTATAATTTCATTGGTTAATGTTTAGATGAACATCTGAATTTACTCACTTTTGTAATTTTTATTTCATTTTAAAGTATAAAATTGATCCTTGTTTCTAAACAAAGATATATTTTCTTTATAGTTATATCCTTTATGATGTGAATCCTGCAGAAGGCTTTAATTTGAGAAGAGATGTGTATATTCGTATTGCCGTTTTCTTAAGAAAATTAATTGAGAGGGACAAGGAATTCCAGTGGCAACTGGTTTTACCACCATGGGGTAATTTATGAATGAATGAACTAAAGATGTATTCCGTGAGCTTTATTATTTATAATGAGCATCTCTTAATCTTTGTTTTAGGTAATCTATATCACTGGCGAAGCAGAAATATAGGATTCCAAGAGCGTCTACCTTGGGGTACCTTTTTTGACATTACGAGTTTACAACTGTATATACCTGTCATTGAGATGTACGAATTTCTGAAAGGTACATTTCTTTATGTTTTTTTTTAACTGTAAGACTGTTGAGAACCAATCTTCAAGAGCCAAAGTATAAAATAAAGCAATACTTGTCATATAAACATATATAAATTATTCAGAATTTAATTTTTGAATTATAATGTTTTATTATTGTACAATGTTTGAAGTACTAGCAGATATTCATAGAATATTTTGCTCAAAAACTAAAGAAAGAATATATAATTTTCTAAAGTATGCTTTATGCTTTATTTCTCTTTCTTGGAAAATGCAATCTGATTGGCGTATACTTTTTTTTTGTAATCTAATACGGATTCTCTAGATTTAAGAACAATTCTGTATTGAATTTCTATTATATATATATTCTATATAAATTAACAAAAATACAGGATTCTCAGTATAAATAATAAATAGGAAGTTTAAGGGTGAATGAGAGTCAGAATATAAAACGTATTTTTTAAGATGTTATATCGAATATATTATTTCTTAGAAACACTAAAAATTTTGTAATAAAAAAGATTACATAATTGAAATATCCTTATGTGTGAGTACAAAATTAAAAAACGTATATGCTCTCTCTAAAAATATAAAATATGTATAACAATATGGAAAAAAGAGAATTTTTAACCAAACTATATGAATGTATGTTGCTAACACTATCAATTGATAAATTAAAGTGGCTACATCATATACTTTCACTTGAGAAACAAGTTTGTGGAAATCGGTAAATATTATTAATTTATACTTCTCTCATATGCCTCTGATGTAGCCACTTTAATTTTTCAATCGGTATCGTAAGCAACATACATTCATATAGTGTTAAAAATTCTCTTTTCCATATTGTTATATTTTATATTTTTAGAGCATATGCATTTTTTAAGTTTGTATACTCACACGTAAGGATATTGCAATTATGTAATCTTTTTTAATTTTTATTACAAATTTTTTAGTTTCTAAGAAATAATATATTCGATATGACATTTAAAAAAATATGTTTTATATTCTGATTCGTTAAACTTTCTATTTATTATTATATTCTATATATAGAATATATTTAAAATATACATGTGTGTATATATGTGTATATATATGTATATTTTATATATATAATTCTTATTTTTTTAATGGTATTATGAGAATTTGATATAAATGATTTATTTGACTGTATAACAGCTTGATTTTAGAGTACTCATGTGGGAACAGAGAGGTGCAACTTGATCGTCTGTACATTCTACAAAATGACGAGGAAATGTTCAAGACAGGTAAATTCGAGGACAAAAACGAGCTGGTAGATTGCGATCATAATTCTTTGCGATACCACAAATTAAAACAACATATGTACACTGGTCCATTCTGGGGCTATTCTAATGTCACGGCTCGAGACGTGAAATGTCTTAAATTCCACGGCATGGCACGAGACCTTTCCCAGAATCTCATGCCAACGCAATACAGGTAAAATATTCTAGATGTTTTTATTTTGCTTTTTTTAAGAATCTTACTAGCGTTCTTGCACAGATCTGTAATGTTTCATCGCATGGAGATTGCTTTACACGATGAATACGGGTCTAAAGAATATTGGAGAGCTAGACGCAGCATGCGTTATAATCCTGAATTGTACGATATCGCAGAAGATTATAGGAAAACTTTTCTGAATTCTACGAATGAGAATGATAATACGGAGCGACCAGCGGATTGGACTAAAGAGAAGGTATATTGTGATTATTATTATTTTTTATATTATAGTAATGATAAATTATAGCTATGGATTCTAAGTTCAGAATCGGCGAAATGCAAGAGGCGGGCCATATTTGGCGGTTCATCTTAGAAGACGCGATTTTATCATGGCTCACAAGGCGTCGGTGCCGACAATAATGAATACTGCCTTACAATTACAAAAAAGAATGGCTAAACTTGGGCTAACTCTACTGTTTGTTGCAACAGATGCAGAGCAATACGGTATGTACATTTTGTATAAACTTACGATTTAAGAATTTTACGAATTCTTAAATTGTTGAAAAGTCTTTTGTAAATTTTTAAGCCAATACATAATCAATTTTTTTCTAAATATATTGAAAAATGTTGAAACTTATAATTTTTGGTTGACTAACAATAGCAAATAATAAATAAAACAGAAAAGAAAATAATTAGATTAAACAAATAATCTAGACTGTTGTCAAAGAAAAAAGAAGTAATGTTCTAATTATCATATTTTTGTTAATTCTAAATGAATTTTACTTTTCAAGAGAATTTTAATTTATAAAAATTTTAATTTTAGTTAATAAATACGGAATGTTAAATGTTATGATTTTTTTTTTAAATAATTTCGTTCGAAGGAAATTCTCGTACATATTGAATATACAAGTTATTGAAAAGATATCCTGAATATAAAGAAAAATTAAATAATACTTGAATCATAATTTTCAGAATTTGAAGAACTTAAGTTGTATTTACCCCAGTATAAAGTCATGAAATATGTGCCATCTGATTATGTGATAAATAAATTTAAAGATGGTGGAGTCGCCATCATTGATCAAATAATCTGTTCATATGCCAGGTAAGAATATTTATGTGATAATTGATTGTAAATAGGGCGTTAAACGTAGATTATTCTTTCAATAATTATCTTTCATAAATGCTAATACATAACTTATGATAATATAGAAATTTCATGTAATCTTGCCTTTTCTTTTTAAATAGATATTTTATAGGAACCCATGAATCTACGTTTACGTTTAGAATACAAGAAGATAGGGAGATTATCGGGTTTCCATCAGATACTACATTTAATAAATTATGTAAGACTAATGAGGATTGTACAATAGATGGATTTTGGTCAATTGTCTGGTGATATTTCGCTTTAGTAATTCAGAATTTTTGTAAATTTTTTCATAATTATTATTTATATCCTTTTTCAATCAATTTCAATTTTATTCGATGTAACAACTATAAATTGTACAAAATGTTTCTCTTTACAAATTTTTTATCTTACGAAAGATCTAAATATATACTAAAAACAGACTTTATCGTACATTATTTAAATCTGCACTTATAAAATTAGACACAGGCATTTATAAAAATAGACACAGGCAACAGGGAATAACGAGCTGTCCAATCAAAGCTCTGGGATATAATATCGAACTTATACCCCAAAGCTCTGATTGGACGGCTCGTTATTCCCTGTTGCCTGTGCCTATTGCCTGTGTCTATTGTGTTCCCAGCTTATGACTCATATGTTAATATATAATGAATGTTATAATGAATGTTAATTCTTGTTATGTATTATTTGAAGCTAAAGACAATTTGGATAAATCGAAATGATGGGATTGCTTTAAAACAATTGTTAAAATGGATGCGAAGGTTATCCTTATCTCACCTGACAGTAATAAATAATCATAAAAAGTGATAAAATTAAGGCACGTGAAAGTGAAAATAGGCTACGCATGTGCATTGAGTAAAAGCACTTTACGGGCCTTATGTCATTTTTTATAATTATTTACTAACTGTCAGAGAGGAATAAACTTAGTTTTCATCCATTATTATAATTGTTTTAAAGCAATTTTATTATATTCGTTTTATCCAAATTGTATTTATTTTCAAATGGCATGTAACAAAAATTAACTTAATTAACTTAATTTCTCGCTTCTGACCATGGTGTAATAAGACAAGGTGTAACATTCCCGTGGATGCGCAGTAATATACGTTTCAACCAATCACATTTGGGTCCAAATGCAACCGCGGAATTTGAATACGACATTATGAATTTAATGATATAAATAACATAAAATCATAAAATCACGATTTTCAATAAAGTACAACATAAATATACCTGAAATAATAAAAGTTGAGTAAAAAATTACCCCGCCGGTTCGCGTAATGTAACACCGAACACGGTAGTGTCGCTGCTCTTGGTCTTAGCGTCGAGACACTACCGTGTCTCTAGTCTCTACTAATTCTCGCAATAAGAAAAATTCCATTTTCATAAATACATTATATATTCTACTTATGTGTATATAAATGTATATATACGTATACATATTGGGTATGGGAATAAGTTTCCGCCTATTGTAGAAAGATGTCGTTATAGTAGCACTGCTTGTGTGTTTGACAGAACGGTAACACAAGTGTTTGAAAGGTTTGTGTTCAAACTTTTTAGCCCAATAGTTGGCATTCGTTCGAAGCGTAAAAACAAGTAACTTTTTTTGCGTTGAAGATGTCGGAATTTATTCCAAAAAAGCAACATTTGCGGGAAGTTTTACTGCATTATTTTATTTTAAAGAAAAGTGCTGCAGAATCGCATCGTTTGCTCGTAGATGTTTACGGTGAGCATGCTCCATCGAAAACCAGTTGTAAAGAATGGTTTCGGCGATTCAACAGTGATGATTTTGACGTGCGTGACAAAGAACGCGAAGGTGCACCGAAAAAATTTGAAGACGCAGAATTGCAAGCATTACTCGAAGAAGATTCATGTTTATCGTTCGATAGGTTGTCAAAAGAGTTAAATGTTGATAGATCCACTGTTGGAAAACGTCTACACGCAATGGGAATGATACAAAAAGAAGGAAATTGGGTACCATACAAATTGAAAGAGAGAGATATGGAAAGACGTTTGGTCATCTGCGAGATGCTTCGTCAACGACAACAAAGGAAGGGTTTTCTACATCGTATCGTAACTGGCGATGAAAAATGGATCTATTACGATAACCCTAAACGCTTGAAAACATGGGTGATGCCAGGTGAACCAGGTCCATCAATGCCAAAACGAAATATCCTTGCTTCGAAGATTATGTTGTGCATCTGGTGGGATCAGAGAGGTGTTATATATTATGAGCTGCTCAAACCATCCGAAACCATCACTAGTGATCGTTATCGACTACAACTGATACGTTTAAACCAAGCTTTGAAAGAAAAACGACCGGAATGGGACAATAGGCATAACAAACTGATTCTGTTACATGACAACGCTAGGTCACACGTTGCAAAACCGGTCAAGAAATACTTGGAAGGAGTAAAGTGGGAAATTCTGCCTCACCCGCCGTATTCACCGGATATCGCTCCTTCAAATTTCCATTTGTTCCGATCTATGCAGTCGGCCCTTTCTGAAGAACGATTCAATTCTTATGAAGATATCAAAAAATGGCTTGATGAATGGATCGCTTCAAAAGAACCAGATTTTTTTATTCGAGGAATCCGTTTATTACCGGAAAAGTGGGAGAAAGTTGTCGCTTCCGAAGGAGCATACTTTGAATAAACTCA